GCGCCTGAATGTGAAACTTAATCCTCCTCAAGTAACATCTAAATTAAATGTAATAGAAAGGTCAATAAAGCAACAAACCAACAATTTACAGAAATACCAAATTCTATGAAGTAATAGGAAAACTTTACCACTAGTAGTGTTGTAGATAGGAACATTTGTAACTAGCTCATTGAGATTTAATCTTCTATATAGTAACTTTTGAGACCAATGGGTTTTCATAAAAATATTTGAAGCCCCTTCAACCTGGGGAACTTTTAGTGTGTATATATGCTGTTTCAGAAATTCAATTTCTTCCTTGAGAGCTGGGGCCTGTTGTAAATCTGCAGTAACCCTGGCTAAATCCTGAGTCATTGCTTGGACCTGAGCTGTAAGCTCTTGTCTTGTGGCAGTTAACTCCTTAACGTCAGCATGAACTTGTTGTAGCTCAACCCTCATAGTTTCTACTCCACCACAATCCATTTCCATTTTAACAGACTTCTCGTACAATTCCCTCATCTGCATATCCTCCTGATCCTGAGTGCATGTGTAGTGTGCCTCGAATGGGCCAAATCGTTGGGGGAAAAGGTGTAGGTGCAAGAAAATTGAAGGGTGTAATCAGTTTTCCTATCTACCGAGGTTTCTAATAGCCAAGGTTTTGTAGAAACAGGGGGGCTAATTAGTGGTTTTGCAAGGGTTCAGTGTAATGTGGGTGTTGTGTGTTGCTCTTTTCTTTCTTCTTTATCTTTTTTTTTAAACTTTAAAACAATGCTGACCCTTATCTCCCCATGTGTGTGTCTCTCCCTCTTTCTAACCTTTTTATTTATTTATTTATTATTATGACTATCTCTTTTTCTTTTAGAGATTCTTTCTGTCAGCCACTCAATTTCCTTTGGATTAATGCCCATCTGTGAGCTCCCCTAAATCATCACAATCTATATTCCATCTTTTGTTTATTTTATTTCCACCATGGAAACATCATCATGCATGTATTCTCTTCTTTTATTTATTTTATTTATTTATTTATTTTTATTTTTTTGAGTCATTATAACCTACCCTCCTTAAAGAAATTTCATCCTCGAAATTAACTCAATTAATGTAATACATTCTACAGTCACCCACAAACTATCTCAGGTACTAACCAATGCATCAACAAAAAATTTTCGACTACTACATGAGTCTCAACGAGTCACACCGGTAATGCACAATGCACCTCAAGGCCTAAATAACTACCGTTACTCTGTAACATATACAATGTACATCCTAATATCAAAATAACATTTCTATCACAATTCCCAAACATCGATAAGAAGGTTCGGATACTTCTCACAAACTTCAGCCTCACGTTCCCAAGTCACCTCCTCAACCCTGTGGTGTCTCCACAATATTTTCACCAAGGGACAAATATGAACAAAAGATACACAGACACATTTGGAGAATATGCTGTTACTGACAAGGAATATTCTGTTTACGGACATCAGTGAGCATATGCTGTTACTACGACGGAATATTCCGTTAGCTGACATCATCGTGCGTAAGCAAAACAAGCAAAAAGGAAATAAAACACAAATGCAGGGATACGGGGTTTCAAACCCTTGACCTTAGGCTTTGTCCCTTGGTCCCTCAACCACTGAGCCAAACCACTAAACCCAAGTCACTCTTGCGACCAGATATAGTCGAATAAATGTATATAATGCATAAATATACAATATAGATACATATATGTATATAACTTTCCTGCTTCTCTCTTTTCCTTCGAAAACTGCGTCTGACACATGACCTTGCTTTTGCGTCAGTTGGCCGACAAAAGCAAACCTCCTCGATTTGTAAGCTCGCCTCGGCTCTCCCTCCCTCTTGTCTTCTTCTCTTCTGCATTCTTCTGAATTAGTATCTTCCCTCTTCTACTTATTCACTCATTTTTCCTTCTTCTTCATTATTCTCTTCCATCTCCTACTTCTTTATCACTTTGCTTCTGTTTCTTCTTCCTCATTGAGAGAAAAAGAGAGATTGAACAGAGGAGAAAAGTTGTCCCCAAACTCAGTCTATTCTCTGCTATTTCTCTGACTCTCCTTTCTTTCTCTTTACATCTCTCACTACACATGGCCTCATCTCGTCCTCTCACTCTCTTTCCGGACCTCAATGATCCAAGCTCTCCTGGACCGAGTGCCTCTGCTCCTACTCTTCCTAACCTTCCTGGACTGAGTGCCTCTACTCCTACTCTTCCTAACCTTCTTGGACCAAGTGTCCCTGCTCTCACTCTTCTTAACTTTTCCATGATGTCAGTTGAGCAAATCATGGCTGCTCAATCTGACATTGAGGCCAACCACTTCACACTGAGCTCTTGTATGGAAACAGTGACTGCGGTTACGAAATTATCTCACCAGTTGCAGAATAGGACTAGTGAAGTACAACAGTTAAATTCCCAACTTTCTCTGCTCCAGCGCATGTACAAAGATGTGCGGGCAGAGATTTGTGCCCTGAAGGCGAAGAATAAGGAGTTAAATTGAAAGACTACCGTCTTGACTCGATTCGGAGCCTTCAACTCTCTTGGCGGTCCTGTACACACTGAGGCGGAGCCTTCAAGGGTCTCCCAAGGCGACAAAAAAAGGAAGAGCTCGGTAAGAGAGTCGAGTAAGTGAAGTGGGCATGTGACTGTTATCAAAAAACAAGATCCCTCTTCCTTTTTTTTTTTTCTTTTTCTTTTTTTTGCCTATGTAATCGGGATGCCATCCCTGACTTCAATAAAATCATTTTCTCTTTTTTTTTATATTTATAATCTAGTGCAATAATTTACTTAATATCCATCCAAAGTGATTATCTCAAGACTCTTAACCAATGAGAACACCCTCCCTTTAAAGACACAATTCAATGAATTATTTTTGAGACCCAAGCAAAATCTCAAACGAAGGTCTTTCACATTTAAATAATTATTATTTAATTTTTTTATTTAAATATAACTTTTCTTACTTTTCAAGATGCAAAATTCCAACTATTTAATTCCAACTTTTGTGATGAGGTTATTTTTATCATTATTTAATTCCAACTAGTTTCTGACCACCTATTTTGATCGTCTTTGATCGAGTAAGTGAAGTCGGCATGTGACTATTATCAAAAACAAGATCCCTCTCCCTTTTTTTTTTGGCCTATGTAATCGGGATGTCATCCCTGACTTCAATAAAATCAGTTTTCTATTATTATTATTTTTTTTTTTTTATAATCTAGTGCAATAATTTACTTAATATCCATCCAAAGTGATTATCTCAAGACTCTTAACCAATGAGAACACCCTCCCTTTAAAGACACAATTCAATGAATTATTTTTGAGACCCAAGCAAAATCTCAAATGAAGGCTTAAAGGGAATTTTTAACCCCCAAGGCCTGTGGGAGCTTCAATATCCCAATCTGAATTTTTTAAATTTTTTATTTTTTTTATAAAAAAACCTCAGCATTTATTGATT